ATTGTCACAAAGAGGCCTCTATTTTGATCCGTTACGCCCCGACCATCCTATCTTTTCATATATTTTCAAACCCACTCATGGCGTCCCTCAGGTGTCTTATATCATATTAGGACGGCTGGACGCTTGTACTTGCTCATATATGGCAGTCATCTCCAGAGAAACTTCTGGTCGCTGAGGCTGAGTTTGAAAATATGCTAGAGGTGGGATGTCCAGATAGCCTAAGCAGCACGTCGGCTTCATTTTTAAATGTGATGTCTAAAAAAATGGCATGGACTTCAGGTCTTGTGGTGACTGCTAGAGACTCATCTCCCAAAGTCTCCCAGACTTCCATCCCGTCCCACACATGCGTAATTTTACTGCGTCATTGAAATACTTGCCTGCATTCCGAAAGCTTGGCCTGATATCTATCTATGATCAGACTAGAGTTCACAATGATGGTTTTTGAAAGATCGCAGTTATTATACCTTTTGGTCTTTCTCAGTTTCTGTGTATGCATTTTAATTTGTGCAACACTACATAGACATTTCAGAGTTCCATTCATGATATCTTGTGTGAATGATACTTTGCCTACTCGTGTCTGGGTGAGGTTCTGATAGTGAGTCCATATAAAGAAACTCATCGTGGTCACCTACAACATGTTTTCCGCTGAATTTTGAAACATTTAATAACATTCAGTCTAAGTGCTAAATTTACGTCCACTACCTGAGCTTTGCAGGACATGCGGTTAGTAAGCAAGACATAAACCCATTACCTGAAAATGTGTGGACGCCTTTATAGGACCAAATGCCAACGACCCTGAAATCCTTGCCCACGTTTCTCGGGATGACAAGTTGCTACCATCATTTTATACCTAAATGTACACGAAACAGCACTCTTGGTCGCGAACTACCTGTCACGTATGCTTCTGTCTAACAGTTTCGTCCCTTCGTCGAAGGTCACTAATATCCTTTCCTCACTGATCTTAAACGTTTAGGTCGCACCCTTCACATCGTTATTGGTAGATACTTCCATAGTAAACTATGTCAACTGAGGTATGTCTTATGATTCATGTTGGATATCCGTCACGTTTCTGGAGTGAATCACCCTCCATTAATCCCACTATCTCGGATATGTACTGCAGCTACTCCTCAGACTACTGACCTGAGAAGATCTGCAGGATTTTATGCTTAGGGTATGTGCAGGCACTTTCCTGAAGACGTAGCAAGCATCTCTAAACAGTAGGAAAGTTAGCAAGTTTTACGACTTGTCCAGAGGCACTCTCAGACCTCCGGTTCCTCTGTTATTCACCTGAACAATAGTAGAATCTCTTCGATACCTCTGATACCTTGGCATACGCGCTAACAACAAACTGACATCATCCAGCTTTGTCTGGCCTGGTATTAATCATGTGGTGCCAAATTGGATGCGTTATTGTACACAGATCCAGTGTCCTAAAGTGTGCAAGAATAACAGCATCCCACTGGATCACTTGGCACACTTGATACACGCTTTAGCCACATTCATCTGGTCATCTTTGGTCTACTACCTCCATCAAACGCCTACTCGCACCTGCTCACATATGTGGTCTGTTTACCTGTTAACCAGAAGCCACCCGTATTCCGGTCATCCTAAGTGGGACAATCTGTTGAGTCTTTACGTAGAGATGGGTTGCACAGTCTGGATGTCCTTCTGTGGTGACGGCGGTCGAATATTGGAATCTTGAACCTTCCAGAAGCTTTTGAAAGTGTTTGGATGTAGTCGCATTCGAATCAAGGCATACTGCCCACCTTCTAGAGGCCTGTTTAAGTATTCTTGTTGACGGCTCTAAGCTCCTTTGATGGAGTTCAACAACGCCAAATAAAGAGATTTTCTCCCTTTAGCTTTTTGTGGTATTCACTACGCCTTTGGAGTGGGTATCCAATAAATCTGGACAGACCTGACCTGCGGAAACCCACTCTATTTACTCAGAGAGTTTATTGCTTCAGAAGTCAGTGGACCAAGTGTTTCTGTTTTCCACAGGGATGCTGAGAATCTGATATACTTTATACGTCAACTCCACTCAACGCTAAATTGTACTCAGAGCGACGAAGTGCTGTTCGATTCGAAACTCTAACTCCGTATGCGTGTTATTTTGCGTCGTGCTGCTGTATGTAATACACTTAAAGCTCTATGATGGACCCTACAAATTCTCCATCAGGAAAGAGAATTTTTTTCGCTAACTTAATAGGTGTTGGTATGCGGTAAGCGTTGGCCTCGGAAATGCAGCTTAAATAGAGGATTAATCATCAGGACATATTTCTAAAACCTGTTTGTGTAGTTTACTAGTCAAGTGGGCGATTAGAGACACGGCGTTTAGTAGGGCTGGCGCAGTGTTAAGTATCAGCAACACAACTGTTTCCCCGCAAGCTATACGAAGATCTGTCGATATCTTTTGCGCTATAAACGTAGTGGAAAGAATGATTTTATGTTGCTACATTTGGTTACTTTCATTTCAAACGTGATTTTAAAGGAGGCACAGGGCACCAGTCTTGTAGATAGATTTAGTCTACTGTATTTAAATGTTCACTCTCGGGTTTTCACTCATTTTAAGTGGTATGAGTGTCTCCACAGATTATTTTGGCGTGCTTACCGTTTCTTTAACATTTTCGATGAGTAAGTGAAGGATACCATCCCAGCATCTTGTTGTAATCTAAATTAGCAAGCATTTAAAGGACATATAACTGATGAAACTCTCCGAACGACAAAGACATTATATGGCTTAACTCATTATTCATTGTTGTAAGGGCTTTCATGATATAGGTGGAAGTATTTCTAGTTTGTTTTACTGAGGACTGATTCATTACAGGTAGTCTGCAGCAGTTGCACATTTTGTTTAGGACCGTTCTGATAATGAATGTTCCTAGAAAGTCGCAGGCACTTTTCTCTTGAAGGTAGTCTATTGTTGAGCGTCAGTGTTTGGTAAGTCATTAAGCAAGAAAAACAAACCGTAATGCACAAAATTACTGGGTACTGATATCCTACCATCATATATTTTAACATTAGGAAGTTTGGATTTATCGGTGAAGAATGTTCTTGTGCTTCCTAACAGAGGGCTCTTGTATTTACTCTCGTATATTCCACCCCAAAAGGATCATACTGATGTATAATTCAAAACAGGTTAGAACTCACTTTCGTATTCACAGTCGGTGAAATCATTGTTGTGTTGTCCGTCAAAGCATACAGTCATACCACAGTGCAACTTGAGAAACTCCAGGACGACTACCATCACTCTTTCCATTATATCCTGAGTCCTAAACACGGCATTTCATCGTCAGAATGAATTACGAGTATTCCGATATTCCATCAACTCTATATTTCATGTGCAAACCTAATATACGTGTGAATTTTAGCGGTATTGAAGTGAATAACTTTGAAGTTTCGCTCCGTTAGCTGGTTCTATAACTCCTTAAGTGAGATAATCTAAGCCGAAAGTAAAATTTTAGCCTGTTCATCATCACTCAGAGTTCAGTGTTCGTGGAACTTTTCAGACTAAACGTGGTCAGAATCTACTAAGCCATATTTTGTAGCCTGGATTTCGTAAATACCTCGAACCTAGAAAGTGTAGCTCATCATTTACATTTGGACTTGATATTTCGTAGATTGCAACAATATTGCGTGACCGTCAACTGCAAGAAGTAGTATGTCGAAATATGATTACCCAGTTTCCTTGTTAAAAGCCCAGGTAGAAATAAATGGTAGCTTCTAAAGATAACTTGAAACTGACCACTGTGCAACATTTTAGAAGTCAACTTTTCTGCCAAGATAATACAACCAATTAACTGTCTGCAGTCGATACCACTGGAGAAGACTGATTGTTCTTTCAAACGTTAATTTTCAAAGCAGAGCAGTGAGCGAGTGAAGTGGAAACCTAGCGAAACACACGGAAGGTCACTAACAATTCAAAAGACAAAAAAACTCTACAAGTCATACAGAAGTCATGATGCCCACTTGGTTACTCATCATATTATTTTGAGTTCCTTAACCACCAACTAGATCTCAGTGGCCATAGCATATTGTGTTATAGAGGCCTTTCAAAATCCCCCACTTGCATGGCCTTCCTTCCCTTCACATTCCACGTGAAACATGGAGCTTCAGGTTTAAAATATCAGTTGCAGTGTCGTTGTGAGATTGATAGCCTGGCACAAAAACTTCTTTATTTCCCAGGACTACTGCTGTTTGGGAGTCATTCCTTTAAACCACCCAGGCAGCACCTCCTCAACTTCAGACAGGATTCAGAAACAGTTCGGAGAGCCGTTGCGTTAAGCATAAGGAACAATATCCGGATTCTCAATACCAATATCACGTTGGTCACTGCCTATATATTGTTTAAAGGCTTGGTGTGTGAGTCACCCATAGAATCTCCAATAGGCTGCGGACATTATTCGACCATCGTCTTCACTCTATACTGAAGATCATATGGCCAGAAAGGACGAGCGGAAAGAAACCCTGAAAAGAACCCATAAAGTGACTATCACTCAAAACTAAACGGAAGGAAACGAAGGTGGATAGGATGTCCACTGAGAAGAATGTTGAGTGCCATCTCGGTCCAGGCAGACGCTACAGTGGAATCCGAATGAGAAAACGGTAAGTTGGCTATTTCAGTGTGAAATGGTGGAGACCACATAACGAAATGGAAACTTGTGTGCACTTGTAGGGCCAGCTACAACAGGCTCTATAGAGCAGGATGAGATGAAGATGCGCTGTTGAAGCCCTAAGTTCCACCTGAGGTCTAGGGGAATAATAGTGTGAAGAGTATTTTTTAGAGTGTGTTCGCTGGATGGTGGCCTCACCCAAATACTGCCACTGAACTACGGATGCACATTTATTGGCAGACTTTTGCCGACTGTGCCCAATTAATAAGACTAGTAGCAGATCTCAGACAGAGGTGCCTAAATCGGGAATAAATTGCTGAACTCAAGTTAGACAACTGGATGTATAATGACGTCCAAGAAAAATGTAAGAGTGAGACGAAAATAAGTAGAATGTGTCCATTTCAAAAGAATCAAAGTCGGGACAATTCTGCATCCCAACACTGTGAGGATTTATTTAACATTTTTATGTAAGTTTTTTCTTTGATTCCAAGGAAATCCACTAAGTTGTGGAAGGGAGTGGCGAAATCCGAGGTGGCGCCATATTCACTGAGTAAAATTATTGGGGGCTCTCAATCAAGATTGTTTTGAAAATCTACATAAATCTCGCGAACGTTAACGTCTAGGAGGTAGTAAATCTATCGCGTTATTACTTATTGGCAGTAATGAGCATGAGAAACGTAGTATGGAAACTCAAAATAGAAAGTGGACACATACATAAGCAATCGCCCTGTTGTGAGAAGTGATTTTATCGTGAACAGTATAATGCCACGAAGCCTAACCCACAAAGCAGCCATAGGAGTGTCTTCATTAAGTTCCAGTCGTGCTACCACAGCATAAGGGTCTTTGGAGTTCATATTACAGTCTTTACATCAACGATTTCGCCTAATAATCTCGTTAGCAGCATGATACAGACGCTCCTCCAACTTAGGCGGAAAGATATTCAGATTTTAGTCAAACTAAAGTACAAAGCTCATCCTTAAAATTACAAGAATATTTCTGAAATGAAGACTAGATCACCGAAACCATTCGGACTAGGTACCACGCACAAAGAAACGCGGTCTCTTCATTCAGTATTACATGAACTGATGGGTTCGGCAGCAAAAGTAGAGAAGAATAACACTACTTATGAAAAAATGCATTAACTGAGGCAAATCATTGTGATGGCCAAAATAAATGTCTCACTCGACTTCGAATGAAAGAAAATAAAGCCGTCAAAAAACGGAACATGTATTACTTCCTGTAAGCACATGTGGTAACTATGGGTACTACTTTGACTGAGGAAATGTGGAAATTTCAGACGGCTGAACTACAAAAATTGATTTGAAATCCTTAAAAGGTCCACATTAAGCCCATTCGTCAGTGATAGATATATTGTCACTAACCAAAATCTTTCTTTCAAATGACCGCATGATTTGTATACATTTTTCTCCGAATGACTACTAGTACTACTGATAAAAATGGCACTTGCGAGAAGGTTATCATGATACCATTTGAACAATCTCACAATATGGTGGCTGTTCCAATTTCTTTATATATGATAAATAATTTTACGAGTGAATATAGAAAGAAGGCAGAGTTTCTCAGATCATAAAAAGTATTTACTACGAATGAAGGTATTTTACTTGGATTGATCAATATACCTAATTCATGCTGCCACAGAGCGTTGTTTTAATGCTCTATTTCTGAAGGACAACACAGCCGGAATTCTCAGTTCAGGTGGTGTTGGCAATGTTAAGGAATAGGATTTGATTAGTTTCCAATGGGTTTGTGCAAGTGTGAACGAAGAAGAGTGACGAACCTCTTTTGCTTCGAGCATCGGGTTAATGTGTGTGAATTTTGTTTGGTAGCTAACCACAATAAGGTATGAAAATTCTGACGTGTTCCATATAATAGTAACAGTGCATCGTTAAATCCTACCTTAGGTGGATAAAAGACAGTGACTTCAATCCTTCATGTAGCATATGTCGTGAACCGTTTGAAACGGACCCTTCAAAGAAATGTGTGCGTCTGGTGTGTCTTGGTTTGTAAAAATGCAATAAACGTATAGGTATTTTTAGATGTATATCATTGGGACTGTTTGAATAACTATGTGTTAAGTCTCCCACCAACAACCACTCCTGCTGGCTATTTGTGCCCGCTATGTGATCAGCCAATCATACCTCAAGCGAATCACGGCGGTCCTGTTGCAGAAGCTCTCCGTACGTGTCTCAGTGAAGTTGATTGGGCTAAAGGAAGTTTGAATGAAATAAGAAAATACTTCCCCATAGAAGCAAATCCAAGAGTCAACTCAACACCCAATATGTACATGCCAACCCAAAGTAAGTTTTATTTTAGTGCTAATTCGCGTTATTCTTTCGAAAATCCTACTCATATTTCACCAAACTGTTTTTTTTGGGGGTGGGGGGGACTTATAAACTACTCAATGTTATGCGACAGCTGAGACTTACTAGTTGTTAAATCACAAATTACTGCTGCGCACCTCCGTTAATTTTATCTTGAGTAGTGGCATGGCTTTAGTTGTTTTGTAATTATTTTTCCAGATTAATGTATTATTGTGTAATTGAAGGAGTTCTTGTCGAACTAATTTATTTAGGCGTATATAAACCCTACAATATACATTTCTCTAAAAACCACCTAGTATACTACGACATACTTCCTGTTTTATTCCACAGGGCTTTAAATCACAATAAGCCCCATCAACCATGTGTTTTTGACTAAAATTTAAGGGTTCTGACGTACGCTTTGATAATATTAAAAGGTAACGTAGAAGCCATTGCTAATATTTTACTTCTGTCACGTTCGTGCGTAATACGAGTCCTCAACATTTTTTGTCTTTCTCACCACATTAGTTTATCATGCTTCATTTTGTCTGACTACTGTATATCCTCCATTATGGATAAGATTTTATTTTGATAAATCACAGTGTTATACAGTAATATTAACTGGTTCATTGAGTCTACACCCAACACACAACAGAAATGACTCAATGCAAATACCAGAAATATGGAAGATATTACCGCCGGTCAAATCAGAAGAGGATAATAAATAATCTCAAAATTCTATTTCAAACCAAACACATTACAATATTCTAACAAGTAACTTATTATGACTATAAAAGAAAACACTCGTCTTATTTTCCATCTGATTGTAATTGATCAATAATACTCATATTATCATTTTTGAATGTACACTATCCCATATTGATTACTACTCAAATATTTAGTCGATTCCACAAACGTATATAAATGAAGGAAAAAAGTTGTATGAGTAACTTGATATGATTATGAGCAGTAGTTTGTACCAGAAACTTCATCAGTTAATTTTACTGTGTAACACTGTTTGATTTGTCAAAATAAAATCTTATCCATAATGGAGTTATACTCTACCACACTGCCCAAGTTTTATACTTATATCAATATTACTGTATATCCTGCTGGTATGTTGGGATAAAGCACGAGATTAGTTTCAAGAGAACAGCTACAGTAGCCGTTGAAATTCCACCTGGTTAAGTAAGCCTAAAACGTGCGCATCATTTACTATCATATTTTAGTACTTTACATATACGTAGCCAGTTAGATTAACTGTATAGTTATCTTGAAGCTACATTACTTGTCCATTTATAGTAGCTGTAGTTAATGTTACTCAGGCATATTGTGACATCCTTTTAAACAGGTTTCCTGGGTGTATTCTTGTAAAAAAATTCTGACCGGCCATATTCTCATTTTGACTAGTTAAACTCATTTTACATCTGAAGAATGTCTGAGTAGTTCAGCTTTACCTTCAAATTGTTTCTGTACAGTTAATATTGCGAACCTCCTATCACCTACTCGCTAGTTATTATAGTAAATCCTAAGACATTTTATTTCCTTTATTGGTTGTTAAATATTCCGAATTTCTGTAGAGTCAGACAAACCATAAATCATTGGAAATTGGACTCCTTGTTTCCCATCTTTGAGGCATATAGAGACTTAGATGAGGAATAATGCCGAATTGTAGTAATTTTTGATATGTTTAATATATCTACTATTAACCTCACTGGTAGGTGTATTGCTAAGCTTATGCATAGATATGCTTACATTTTCAGACTTCAAAATAGTTGAGTTAGGGGTAGTAGTTCAAAATATCAGAATTGTATACTTCTTTATTAGTTGTGCTGGTGCGTGAAAGTAAGTTGCTGGGTTAGATACTTTTCTAAAAATCTCTGGAGAATCTTTCCAGATTAGGATGTGCGTTAAATGTAGATGTTCTTGTCTGTCAATGCAGAGGATCTGTTAAGGTAACCACCAAAGCCTAACTTTGCTACACCATACTTCATCAAAATGAGTCACATACTGTTCATGCTATTAAAATTGAAACTGAATTATGCAACTTATAACACTGTTATTATTTAGAATAGTTATATGGTTAATGCATACACCTCTCATAGTTAAAAAATTTTCTCAGGGTGATCAAGAGTGCTCTGACCTCGGGTGGAGGCTCACCATTGTACCTCAGTGGGTTGAAACACTCGACGGATGGGCGTGTAGTTTTTGTCAATGGGGAGGCCACACGGTCCTCCCTTTAAATAAAAGGTGCGTTGGTGTCACAACGGCTAGGACTCTTGCTGACTATGCACATGGTCCGGGGTTCGATCCCCAGCCGACACACACCCGATATCCGTGGTTGGCCTGCAAAATTTGGGCTACCGATATCATATGCTGAAAATTCCATATTTGTACCAAAAATACGGTGTGGAGCCCAGCTATAATAAAAAAATTATTTGTATCTGTTCACTTAGCTTCGTGTGGTCTAACATAACTGGTGGTAGTGTTGTATACACGAAGTTCTGTATTTCTCTAGTGAATGAAGAGATTCCTAACAATTTAGATGTCTAAATAATTACTTGTTTAAACTAATTCGGTGCATATTTAAATTCAGTATAAATGTGTGTTGTTATTATGTAAAATAAATCTGCTTTCACTTATTGTCACTTCGGATTTATGAAATTTTACTAAAGGTACGATGGATGTTAAACTCTTTGACCCACGTTTGGATTTAGCCGCTAAGCAATTTCTTAAAGGACGTGATGTGACAGATATTTTGGAGACCCCGCTAAAAACGTCCGGAATGCAGATGGATTCTATTTCAAATGGCACCAATATATACAGTGATGATTCTAAAATAAACTACCAGCGCAGAGACCAGTTCTTGTCTTCAAATCCGTTTACTTCCTCAGAAAATGATGATAATGCTAAATATAAGCATCACCTATCCGTAGCTTGTTTCAAGCGCTTCCTAAGGTAAAAGTGAAAATCCAGTTTTACTATTTTATTTTGATTATTATCAACGATGTTATAGTTGTATGTGTTCCAGTTAGTGAGTTGATGTTTTGGATGATAACCGAAGTGGTTATATAACATGCATAAACAGCAGCATATATCACTCAGTGACATTCTTTTTTACATGTAGGAAAAGTAAAATTACAGTCATTTAGAGCTTATACTTTTTTCAGAGATAGTTAAAGAACACTTAATTAACAAATGCCACAACCAACTTTTTATTTAGTTGGTAGTTTTGTGTAGTATTAGCACATTAGAATTATTAGGGGCAAAAAGTTTGTTGACTCCTTTCATATTTTGTTCTCAAAAGACAGCAGTTCGACTGCTCAACGTTCTAACCACCTGATATGAAAAGTTACTCAAGTTCTATCATTTTCGGTGATCGTCTCATTTACCATAGGCTTTTTAAAACTCGTTTCCCAACTGAGACGAAATAGTTAGCTAGTATTATTCACTACTGAAGCTTTTTACACTTTCTTCACTTGCCTCTCGCAGTTGTGTTGTGGTCGTTGTGAAGACTTTTAGTCAGTTTTTGTTTGAAAAGCTTTCGCTCACGTTCAAAGACTGTCGTCTCCTTGCATCAGTCAACTGGAACAACACTATGGCGCTGCATCTCTTGGTGCCCGTAATGCACCAAATTTGTGTTTTTAAAAGTAATTAATTTAACAATGTGTTGAACAGGTGCAACCTAACCGACAAATGCTACTTTAATATCATGCCAGAAATGGTGTTTCAGTTGAGCAAGATACCTTACAATTACTTGTGATCACACTAGATCTTGCGGTGAACTGTCTCTTATTATTCATTATAAATGTTCCACTCTCATTTTTATTTGATTATATATATATATATATATATATATATATATGCACCCATGACGTTTAAGCGTTTTGACAAACAGTGCCTTCTAAATTACGTCCGTGGTTGGTGAAACCATGCTAAATTATTGAATAAATCAATGAATTCATCAATTTCTGTCAAAACCGGGGTATAGGTGTGTTCATGTGACCATAATAGCCGGTCATTAACAACTTTAGGTAGAATGACTTAGATGATTGTGAGATATTATTGGTTTCTTCGCTTTATCTTTTCTCTCGTTTGATTGTATTGTAGTATTTTCATTAGGATTATTTTTATTAGTTTGTCTTCCTTTTTATGATACTTTATTTGTTGTGGACTGTACCTGCTTCTATGACCATATGCTGATTATGCTAGATTCTAGTTTAGCAGTCTTTCTATTTGAGTGGATGGCAAACCGTCATTTTCTCTCGAAAATTTCTCTATTTTCATATACTACTTGGTGACTATTTCGTTTCTCGCTAGTTTGTTATCAAACCTAGCAGCCTGTAGTTGGTTTAAATTCATTCACTTATTGGATTAATTCGTTTTGTTATTGGTTGTAAACTACTTTTACTCTATCAGTTTTTATCCCTTTGTCATTCTGTCTTTGCTGTTGGCCGTCAAACAGTCTATCATCATATCTTAGTCATCCACTGATTATGCACAAACTGATGGTGGGCTTATATACTCGGATGGTATCACTACACTGTTTGGAGTAATTTAAGGTGTTATATAAATTCATTACATGCCCATAGGTTTTGTGTTGCGTCCAATCACCTTCTTCATGATTGATTTTATTATCATTGTAGTCTCTTAAAAGATCTCAGTATCTTCTTATGTACACATTTACCCACCCTACTGTCAAGTATGATCAGTTTTTGTAGCAATCTGGCATTTATTTGTATTTCACAGATTGAATGCCAATTCAAAGACTCCAAGACATTTTTGTGTAACCTGTCGTCACACTTATTCGCTCTACGTTCCCAATGCTTTGGATTGTAATCACTATCAAAGTTTCTGTGATATTTCTGTTTTTCTTCTGTGCTTATATGCTATTCTGCTTAATTTATTAATCTTCCTACTCCAATTTATTTCCTTGATATATTGTTGCGAATACTGCAGTTTAAGGCTTCGTTCTACATTGTTTAGTCTGATTGTCTAGTTGGTACTTGTTATGGAACGTGTTTGTAGTACACTGACGTTAAGGTCGATTGGATAGAAACGTATTTAAAAAAAGAATCTATAGTAGTTTTTTTGAACTGCCCTGTTGCTGCTGCTGCTGGATTCAACATAAAACTTGGTACCGAAGTGCAGCAGTTCGAGTTGCCACATTCCAAATAGCACACAAAGGTAGACAAGAAAATGAGTGGAGAGAATCAATAGAGTTTTGACAAGTATAAGAGTGAAACAGAATGAGTACTGGTGGAAAGGAATACGAGAGATTACAGAGACTGAATACATCTGCGCCATTGACAACAATTATGAGCCATGCCACCTATTGTCTCCAGCCATTGATTCTTAGAGTCCCGAGGACCCCAACCCAGAAGTCTGCATCTCCCTACCTGACTCAGTTTAACTGTCAGGGATTTCATGGATTGATGCCATCTTTTTGTTTGGCCACCACTTACTCTTTTCCAACCTGCACCTATATCAGCTAGTAATGCCCGTCCGTCGGGGGAGGCGATGGTTAGGCATGCGCAGCACGTGACCTAGCCATCTCAATCTATGTAACTTTCTAGCCTCGTCGATTGATTTTCCCTCTTTGCCCAACACTCTACGCCTAACGTCTACATTACTTACCTTATTATACCCCCTAACGTGAGAAAGAGATCGTTAACATCTGTGGTCAAAAACAGACAACCTTTTCATGTCTTCAACTCGTATTGGCCATGTTTCAGAGCCATAGAGAAGGACGGAGCGAACTGCTGAGCAGTATACACGTCCCTTGGTTGATAGCCGGGTGTCACGCCTACGCCAGAGACGGTGTAATTTAGCGAAAGCAGCCCGAGCTTTTTGGATCCGTGCTGAGATTTCGTCACCAATCAATCCGTTGGTGCTGATACAACTTCCCAAATAGGTGAAGTGGTCAACATGTTCTATCACTTCACTCCCTATCACTAAGCTGGGAGTTGACGTAGTCCAGTCCTGTAGCAGCATCTTACATTTCACAGGGGCGAATCGCATGCCAAACATACGAAGATTGCTGCTCAAGGTGTTCAGAAGACTCTGCATTTTGTCAGCATCCTCCCCTAACAGGACAATGTCATCTGCATATTCTAAGTCCATAAGACTATTCCCTGGTAACAAGTCGATTCCTAAGTCGTTAAGTTCAGTTAAGGATACTTCCATTAGCATGATGAAGTTAAACAGAAAAGGGGAAAGTGGACATCCTTGACGGACACCACTGGTTGTTATCAATTCAGATTACAATTCCCCATAAGCCCTTACATGGCTACGTGAGTTTGAGTAGAGTGCGTTGATTAGTGCAATGTACTTTCTTGGCACTCCCTTCATAGTCAAACATTGCCATAGTACCTCTCGATCCACGGAGTCGAAGGCCACCTTTAATTCAAGAAATATGGCAATTGTTGGACGCCTAAAAGTGTGTCTATGTTCTAGGATCTCTCGGAGAGTGAAGATATGATCTATGCACCCTCTACCTGCCCTGTAAACAGCATGCTGTAATGTCATTTTATAGTAGCAAAGCTAGGTTCTTCTGTCGTTGAAATTTCATGAAATTGTGCAATATTTTGTCGAGATGGCATGTTGTTAGCCTGTTCTGACGGCGGTACATGTTGGTTGCAAGCGTTTATATTCCAGCTGAACACTGAATCAAAATGTTGCCTACCATGAAAAGAAAGGAATCATTGGTGGACAGTGATGTTTTCGTGGAAAATGGTTTATTTTCCGTAAAAGGCGTTCTTCTTTTTGACGTAGATGCATTTTGTGAAGACTTTTTTTGGTACTTTGGTTACCAAGAATTTTTGAATGTTATTCAAAAGGAAAGCGCTGGTGACTTCCAGTCTTCTTTTGTGACTGTTATTTAACAGAAGCTTCTTACAATTAAAAGTTTTTGTTTTTTGCACCGACAAAATTCGAATGATAAATTGGTGACGATAATAATACTAATAGTGTGTAATGCATATATTTCCATCAATTATGTTTAATATCCTCTTACTTTTTTTTTCTATTTTGATAGAGGAAATTCATCCAAATTACTTCGTGTATCATCTGTTCGCCGACATCGTCTTATTATTCTAATTGTTGCCTGCATTATTTTAATATTTCTACTTGGATTTTATGGCTCACAACCAAACGATATCAGTGGTGATCCGTTATTAGATCCTCATATGAATCCTAATTTACATTTTAAACTTGAACCTATCGATTCAATGAAAGTTATGTTGGACAATAATCATAATAATGGTGGGGATAGACGTATAATCGGTGGTTTGAATGAAGCCTAATTGCTGTGTTGTAACAACAAATAACTTTTATTTTCTTTTTGATTATACATGATTGATTTTGTTTTTGCTTACTTCAAAGTCCTTTGTTCTTATTTTTAATCAGATCATATAGGTACTTTGTTATTTATTTATTTATTTTTGTTTTTTTTTTCATCTTGTTATTGTATCTTCTTGTTTTTATTCTCCTGAAAATAATATGCTCTTGAGTTTACAAAAGACGAAACGTTGTATTCTAGATGAGCTCTCCAATTATAGTTAGTATGAAAGTGTCTAAAGGCTCGTGTAAACAGCTTGTCGTAATGCTGTGTATATGCGTCTGTATTCTAGCCTCATACTTTTATGGAGTTTATATTCAGTGGTTCGTTATGTTGGTTTACTTCTCAGCCTCTTTTTTTGTAATCGTGTATTATTCTCACTGTCTCTCGACATGATGACTAGGATATGTACGTGGATCTGTAACTAAAAGACGTGCTAAATAACCATATATTTTCGTTCTTATTTCCAATAATATACACCTTTTGTTCAGAAACAGGCGTGTAAAAGAAGTAATAATAATAATGATTCAATGGGTTTAGAGTTTTGTTTATTTATTTAAAATATTAGCAAACAATGTTTCGTACACGTGACTGATTATTTGTTATAGATAATGTTTTGTGTTAAAACTAATTAATTTGTGGTAAATATGATCTGGTGTGAGTGAATTACAAATGAACAAACAAAAAGGAGAAAAGAAGAAAACAACAAAATAGTACTAAAATTTGCAATTTATCGTGTTCTCTGAGCTGGTTGGTTTAGTTGCGAGGCTTTCGTCGTCCTTCTGGACAACATCTTCAGCGCCATATTTAGCACAAAGTGAAATGATTTAAATTTCTTCATGAGTAGTGATATAATTGCGTCTCCTGGTAACTATCTTTACATATGTATTGACCATTTTCTATTGACTTGGATTTAAAACTTTCTGGTCACCTGATTTACTTTTATTAGCTGTTATATTTCGTCTTTAATAACGTGCTTGTTAATTAATTGCATTTTCGTTTGAGTACCAGGCTTCTAGGAATTCCCTGGCACTTTTAGTGTTTCCTCTGTCTAAGATTTTGACATTATCCCAATCAAATTGATGACCATAATTGTCTATATGCATTGATACTAAAGAATACATATCGTGTCTTTTCACGGCTGATTTATTTTCTTGAATTCTGATTCGAAGGGGACGAAATATACCAACTAATAAAAAGTAAATCAGGTGACCAGAAAGTTTTAAATCCAAGTCAATAGAAAATGGTCAATACATATGTAAAGATAGTTACCAGGAGACGCAATTATATCACTACTCATGAAGAAATTTAAATCATTTCACTTTGTGCTAAATATGGCGCTGAAGATGTTGTCCAGAAGGACGGCGAAAGCTCTGCAACTAAACCAACCAGTTCAGAGAACACTATTAATTGCAAATCATCCACCTGAGCTACAAATCTTCTCTATAATACTAAAATGTTCAAGTGTTGGTTTTCAGAGATTTGATTGGCTATAGGTTTGATCACGAGCTGGCATCACTTGGAAAACCAGAGAGTACTGGGTAGCTGTTTCGTCCTAGTGAGGGACTCTCCAGAGGCTGCGTTGTATATCGTGAATTTCGAGAAGTTAGAAGTCATGGGTCGTCGGGTCCGGTTCCCATTGCCTGGATTGTCTACGAGCTCACCTTATGATCGTAAGGTTCAGAGTTCGAAATCCGGTGGCCGCATACCGTCGAGGAGTCCCAAACTGGGGCAAAACAGCTTTCTAGAACCAGTTATCGCAACGAAGGTTTATTTTTCAAGATTGAATCTGATATGCCATAGACTGGAAATTCATATTCCTTCCTTTTAAGAGTGTGTTTTCTGTTTCTTACTCCATTTAATAACATACCCCTAAAAGTTCTTGGACAAAATTTTAAGTATGTTAGCCTATGTTTCGCTCCTCTAAAGTGACTGCGCATAACTGGTTTGCACTGTCTCCTAGTTTAAGAATAGGCGGTAAATCAGTTGAAAATGTAAACTACTTGACCTAAGAAGTTCCATCACCACCACTACTTGTTTGTGGTTCAAGTGTATTCCGCAGAACTTTGCTTTGTCTTGGTCTGCATCTGAGGACAGTCGATCACTTCAGCTTCTGACTTAAGGTGGAACAATATTGTCATCAATGTTGAAAAAAGGAGGCGAAGAGTTTTAGGTAAAGTTAGCCAATGGTGCGTTGAAACCCCTGTGAATACAGTTTCCGGAATACGCCACACATATTGAATCACCGGCTTTCTCGGTGAAAAACTTTAGCTGCAATAGGAGTGGTATATTATTGATCGGCACGAGGAACATGTACAATATCATGAATCTTCTTGCTTTCATGGTCTCTATTTATGGTATGGCTCAGGTCATATAATGTGAATAAAATATTTTAGGTTTCGTTAGAAGGGTTTGGGGAATATCCATCTCGGAAGTAACGAGTTGTATTCGTAGGGTGATTACACTGAAGAGAAATATGGCCTTTGAAAGTGGGTGGTAAGGAGAAATTAACCACTTTTAACTGTAAGTGTCCGCATTCAATTTCTCGCACTGAGTGATTCAGTGTATATGTAGTAATATGCTTGGGCTGTATTTTGCACGTATCCAGTTACGGCCTTCGGTGATAAGCAATCCCAACTGGAGAATAGCATCAGGTTGGAGAAGAGTTATGTGTGGTCAAACTAATCCGTAAATTATTCCACTATTTTATATATGTCCAAACCAGGTTCACTTTTAACAGTTTGAAAAAATTTGGGTATATGATAATCAGTTAGAGAACCATTGAAAACCAAGGAGTACTGGACAGGTGCTGTTTCATCCTACTTTGGGAATCATCGGAGTACGCACCCACTGGGTTCGAATCCCAGGACCTTCCGGTTACAAGGCACGCTCGTATACCATTCAGCCAGTGAGAAGTCGTGACCAGTGAGGTCCAATTAGATGTCACGTGTGTGGATGGATGTCCCGCCAACGACAATGGTTGGGGTCGCGCTGAATCACTAATTGGTAGAAGTTAGAATTCATGAGACATTGAATCGGGTCCCAGTGGCTGAATGGTATACGAGCTTGCCTTGTAACTGGAAGGTCCTGGGTTCGAACCACATTGCGGTGGGTGCGTACTGCCGATGATTCCCAAACTAGGATGAAACAGCAGCTGTCCAGTACTCCCTGGTTTTCAATGGTTCTCTAACTGATATCAATCCGTGATCAACTCGTAAAAACATAACTGACCCTTACAAACCAAACCATAGAAAATGTATGATAATCATTATAATGAAGGTATTTCTCAATGAATGAAAAACAAAACGATATCGTTTTTACTGACGTTTCGTTATTTAATGCTAACAGCTTTATCAAGGTATTATTAAACCAGAATTTACAAAATCTCAGCTTATATATAACAACTTAATCATCGTACCTCAGCATGGGTTCATTTTTCGCTATCAAACTGACCAATTGGTAAAGATACCAAAACCAGATGTAGACTGTTGGATTTGATAAGTGTGTAAAATTATAAAAGCAGCGTGTGTTTAAATAATGAAATTGCTTGTCACATTCGTGTTGACTTCGTCACTTCATGGGGAGGGGGCTGTTTTACTCCATCATTCCTATTCAGACAATTTGGATTCCACTTGATATGAAATGCTTTCTTTGGGACGTTTTAGATTGCTTCAGTGAGTTATTTGAGATGCTTGTAGTCAATGTTCGGAGTCCATATTTCTGTACGCAAAAAAATTTACCTTTTAATCTAAGTGGAATGCGTGCTAGTTGAATACTTGAAACTTCGTTGTACTTATGATAGGTTATCAGTCTACCCCATTTCTGTTGCTCGATTAAGACCTTGGTTTATTAACAAATTCACCTTTCAGTTATTTATTCATACAAATCCTAGAGTATTCAAAATATTTCATCATTCTAAATGGAACAGTGGATAACTTTACTAGGAATAATATAGTTTTCTTCAGCCTACATACTTTTTGTTGATTAAAATGTCAGTAGTTGATAAACCGGTAGTGATATTTATTGTGATGATTACTGAAGTAAGGAAAATGACACTACAGCTCTTAAGTTATTTAGAATATTACTGCTTAATCTCTCATATTCAAATTTCAGATGGTTAGAGGCAATCGGCAGGAAGCCTTGGACCTTGGTTTCGTGCTAGATGGCACTCGTCAGTTCAGTGGTAACGTCTCTGACTGGGGTTCGAATCTCAGGAGGGACATGAGTTCCCTCAAGATTGCAGATACGCCTTGCTGATTAGTGAGTGCCAGCAAGCACGAAACCTAGGTCTAAGGCTTCCTGTTGCCGATTGCCTGCAACCATCTAGTATCTATCATCAAATCAATGTTCACCGTGATGGCGAGCTACCTAGAATGGTGGCCACGTAGCAAACCTGACTGGTAAAATTCAGTCTGCATCGAAGAAAGGACTAGACACATCGCACTAGTTACTAGTGTCCAATCAAAATGTTCAGGTTTCAATTATTATGGGATTTATTTCTCTGCAATATGGTTTATTCGTATGTGTTTGTCTACACAATGGTTAATCATCTAGATCTCTTCGTTTCCATGTCAATTTATTCGGAATAGGGAGAGAGATAGACATAGAATATTAGGTGATTATTGTAAATATAGAGTGTTTTCCTTATTTACCGTTGCGTTTCTTTTTAGACGGAGGTATTTCAAGTTAATGTTCGCGCTATGTCATAAATTGGCAAAAGTTAGAATTCATGGGCCGTTGGATCGGGTCCCAGTGGCTTAATTGTCTATGAGCTCTCCTTGTAACCAAAAGGTCTTGGGTTCGAGCTCCGGTGGGTACGTACTGCTGAAGAGTCCCAGAGTAGGACGAGAAAGCTGTCCAGTACTCCCAGGTTTTCCAATGGTTCTCCATGTGATGTCAGTTCATGATGAAGCCTTCCAACCAATTAATGTTAATTACCTTGTAAATTTTGTGCGTCGGTGTTTCAGTGGCAGAATACTCGCCAACCATGCTGGTGGTCTGGGGTTCGATACCCGGCCAATGGAGTCCTTAACCTAACTTAGGCAGTAGTATATCAGGTAAAGGAGGGGTGAGGT